GTATCAAATATTCCAAACAACATAATAATTCAAAAAGGTTTTAATTACCTTTATGTAAAAATTAATTTTATTGATAAAATAATCATTACGCCATACTATATTCCTACCAAAACAATATATTTTGATTTCATGAATTGTTTCATGAATAATGAATTTCAAGCAGAAGAATTAATTAGCTTTCTTGGAACAAAATCTCTTACACTTCAAGTAATAATAACATTCTTTTTTATTGATTATGTATAATTATTTAATTGGGTCTATAAATTAGGTAATAGGTGTAAGAAATAAAAATACTTCGAAGTCTTCTATTTACACATCAAGAACGCCATCAAAGGAAATGTTTATACGTGAACAAGAAGATGTTTTGCTTGGCTTTGCATCATTTGATATATCTGATCTTTTGAGAGGATTATGGGAAATTAGATTAAATGGAAACATGATTCAACCTAATAATATGCATTGCATCAATATAAATAATAGTAGTGATGAAATTTCTCCCTTCACCCAAGATATATTGCCATTATTGGATACTGTTATTAAGATTAAAGTCCGCTTGGCACATGATCTAGGGATGATTTATCGTATGGTTCTTGAAAAAGTTCATACACTGAATAGAATTTTTTTAATATTAGATGACCATCAGTTAGCCGATAGTATTCTTGCAGGTGTATTTTCTCATAATTGTAAATTATTTTCTAAAATTCATTCATTGAGTGAAGATATTGTCTTGAAGGTAAAGTAATTACATTGCTCAATACATATTTATATTTTTAAATTTAAATAAGTGTTTCTGATAAATTTTTGGGAAACAAATATAAATGTCAAATTGAATATAAATTTCAAAGTTGAAAATTTGAGTTTTCAGAAATGTTTAACCAAAATTTGAAACTTGGAGAGAAGTTAAAATTTGGTGTATAGTAAATAAAGATGTTAATAAATCAAATTTCTAATATAGGTAGACGAAACATCCAAAAACATTTTAACTGGTTTTGCTATTGACTCTTGTGGTCGATATTATATCTTTCTTGAGGGTTTAGCCAAAGGTTATTTATTGAAAGTTTGGGAGAAATTAGCCAAGCTTGAAATCAAAAGTAATTGTATTTTTTATAATAGCAGTGCTATATTTCTTACAAGGCTTTACGAAGATTTCATGTCCATAGGCGGTCTTCTTAGGCTTAAACTAAGGTAAACTAAGTACAATGTACATTTCATAAACTTGACAAGATTTCAATGTTTAATAACTAATGTCAACAGTGAGCCTTTAGAGATACGGCTCCAACAGCATGATTTATACATTGGCGAAACAAAAAAAACTCACCGAGCTTATGTAATGAGAACAATAGGATTAATGGAATTGACTACAACTATGATATCTCTTTCTCAAAAATGTTTATTTCCAAAGGCAGATGCTGCAATAGCTATCCTTGAAGATATAAGCAACCATTGCCTTTAAAATTTTATTATAAGGTATTCCCAATTAATTACTAGCATTAAAGATAATGAATGAATGTATCATCTTACACTCACTACTTTCTTTTCTTAATTAAAATTTTAATTTCAGGTACATTTTTATTAATCACAGCGAGTGTACCGCGTTGTTAAGGTTAAGATCATGTGTATTTAAATTATAATTGAAATATATGACTATATTCATTAACACATAAGAGAATCAAAATGATTTGTAAATAAGATTTGTAAATTTTATCAGTTTACAATCCTAAAATATGGAAAATAATTATTGAAAGCTATATGACTCTGTGCTTACAAAACGGAGCTTACGCTTCGGAGTCGGGAACGCAACTGATCACAATTTGCTTATTTTCGTTATTTTCGTTTTCAATAAAAGTTATTCCATTCATTATTTAATTATACATAATAAAAGCTGGGATCAATATATGACAATATATCACAAGGAACATTATTTTAATCTGTTATACACACAATTTATTACCAATTTCAAAGTTAAGAAATTGGCCATGGGATATTATTAAAAGATCCTGGTGGCAATACAAATTTTATTTTATATAATTGTGAGTATTAAATGAATTTCGAATTTTTGTATGTGTGATTGACTAGTTTAATACATTAAATGTTATAATGGAATCAAAGTATTTATAGATAAGACAAATATATTCTGACCGCCGCACAGTGGAGCCACTGCTTGCCAAACGCGGTAAAAGATATTTTATATCTTAAATCATGTATATATCTCTTTATATAACTGTATATCACTTTGAACTAAACGCATTATCTAGATAACGCTGGCCTTATACAAAACATGTATGGACAACCGATACTGTATTATTTCAATAGGAAAAACTATAATAAAAAATCACATGTAATAGTGACATAAGGTTTGACGACTTAGAAATAAGATTCTAATATAATTTCACGCAACACCTCTTGGGAGACAAACATAGGAACAACATAAGAAATATTAATGGATAGATCCCAAAAAAATAGCGTTCTTGAAGTACTTTCTAAGAAATTGTGACATTCGTTCAGTCTTCGATAGTATAGTGTTAAAACAACGGCAAACACAATTCTTTACCTATACACCCAAAATTGAAAGAAATATCACGGTTTTACTGAAAAATATAGAGGGTAACTTCGACTCTACCGAAATATTAGAAGCGTTAAGAAATAAAAACGTAGAGAACACAAAGTCCCATCCTCGAACAAATAAAAGAAATCATTGAAGTCGCAGTAAACACACAAATCACACGCCTTTTAACACAGATCCAATCTAACAGTGACAGAATCGACACCATAGCAGAAGCACTAGATATATAAATTTAAATCGATTTCAACGCCCTCAACAACAATAATACCACTCAACAAACCCCTACGGGAAAAACATATCACCACACACTAAAAATAATAGAAATAAATGTCAATTCATTAATATCAAACGAGAGAAGAGCATCTCTCACAGAATTTCTCAAAGAACACGACCCGGATGTAGTCCTTCTGTGTGAAACAAAATTAAACCATAGACACCGGGTTAATTTTAAAAATTATTCATTCCTTAGAAACGACAGACCAAATACTAAACAGGCTGGGGGAATAGGTCAAAAAGTATCCGGGAAGAAGGAAACGTACAAACGGACAACGGCGCGTTGCAGTGCTTCGTAGCGTACAGCAGCAAGCAAGAAACGAAAAATAAAAAATAAATAATAACATAGACAATAAAGTGAGTGACGATAACGAAAAAACTCCGAAAGGGGTTCCGCAAGAAAGTGACCATGTGCCAGATGGTACTAGTGCCCTAATTAACATTAATAGAAAACCCGCAGGGATCTCTAATAAAAGAAATGAAACATGCAGACGTGACCAATCGGATATTACCCCAGCAAATTAAGGACATCAGCAAAGGTAGAAAACCGACGAAAAGATTAAATCCATCACCAACAATAATTATAAGGAAAACCAGAAAAGAAAACGTAACCAGTGAAATCATGAAGACTCTCAATCAAGGAAAGGCACAAAAACCAAATAAAAATACAAAAAGCCCCACATATGACGAACTTATAAAACAGAACCGAAAGCTCAGTTCACTGGTTGAAAAATTAACCGAAAAATTGGAAGCAATGACAATTCCGACTCCAGTGACTCAGCTGGAGTCAGAACCAGAACCAGAAAAAATGGAAATCGGCATGGAGAGCCAAGTGTCGGGTTGTCCCGAAGGGGGCAGCTGGACAAGGGTAGCGTCTTCAAGAAGAGGGCAGCAAATGAAGGACACGGCAGGCACGGCCATAAAAATAAAACAGAAACAGCCGAATTTCAACGACGTCTCCGCTCAGCCAGGCCCCCTGCAGCCCAACGGACCTGGACCATCGACTCGGCAAGTCGGACCCTCGAGAGGCATCCCTTCGCAAGTGCCTTGCAGTGGGAGCGCGACAACGAGTGGCATCTATTCAAAGACGGAGGACGAGCGTCAAAATCCCACCTCCATCAAACCACCACCAATAACGGTAATTGAAGGAAACACGAAAAACACGATAGACATAATAAAGAAAACAGGTATCACAAACAATTTTTTTGTCAAAAATATTAATCGTAACAAACACCTAGTACAAGTTCACAACATAGTAGAATTTAAAAAAATATGTTTAGCGTTAAAAAATAATAACGTCAAATTTTATACGTTCACACCGAAAAACGAAAAGCATAAAATAGTGCTAATAAAAAATCTAGATGGCGGCTTCGATCCCGAAGAAATTTTATTAGAGCTACAAAACAAAAAAGTAGAAGGCCTAAATTTTATAAACGTGAATAAGTTCAAAACGAATGACTCAGTAAAGAACAATACAAATCTTCCAATATTTTTAGTTAAACTCTCGCCGGATAGTAAATTGGAACAACTAAAAAATATCAAAGTAGTTTTACATTCGGCAATCACCTGGGACAAACTAAACAAATCCAACCAGGTACAGTGTAGGCGATGTCAAAGAATAGGACACGCGGCAGCCAACTGTAATTTAGAATATAGATGTGTTAAATGCGCAGAAAAACACAACCCGGGCGAATGTAAACTCCCCCCAATAGACGATAAGAACAGGGCCGAAAATATAGATAAAGCCTACTGCGTCCACTGTAAAAACTTCGGCCACCCCGCCTCTTACAAAGGATGCCCTAAACTCAAGGAGATTAGAGAAAAAATAATAGAAAGAAGAGAGCTACAGATAGCCCAGAAAAATAACAGAGTAAACGCTATCTATAAAAAAGTAAACCCAGGGATAAAATACAGCGAAATAGTGTCAGGTAACAACAGGACCCCATACCCCCTGCCTGCTTCACAAGTTTATCCACACGCACACAGTCAAGCATCCAACACGCAAAATCCTACCATCTCCTTAAATAATCCATCACTCTCCCTAATAGACGAAATAAAAAAAGCCATCACACAAACCGTAAATAGTCAATTCGAAAAAATAGCAGAGCAAGTCAAGAGCAATGCCGAAAAAATAAACATCATATTAAACATATTAGACATAAACTTGGAATAGAAATGGCTCTCCCAGTTAACAACCAAAGACTAGTCGATAAACTAAACATCGTTTCGGTAAATGTAAACTCCATAATCACCAACGAAAGACGAACGACTTTAACAGACTTTTTGACATTACACGCCCCTGATATAACACTACTCTGCGAAACAAAACTTAGTCCTAGCCATAAGCTATTTTTTAAAGACTACAACCTAATAAGGACAGACAGACCAAACTCTAAGCAGGGTGGGGGAACGGCTATTTTAATTCGCAATAGTTTCAAATACAAGACAAGAAACATACGCACAGACAACGCAAATCCATGTCTTGAATTCACGATAATAGAAATTAGTTTACCCGATAACCATAAATTATTACTTATAGCAGGCTACGCAACAAGTAACTGCAAGAAAGAATTCATGCAGGATCTCAAATGCCTTTTCCAGAAACTAAAACTGGAACAAACAAAAAACTTATATCTCCTTGCAGGTGACCTCAACGCAAAACACACTGCATGGGGTAACACTCTAAATAATAGTAGAGGTACATCACTACACTTGTGGAACATAGAAAATCAAATTACATATAGAACATCACTGTACAGTACCGAATCCCCATCTTATCCCAAAAGCAACTCCTACATTGACTTATGCTTAGCCGACAACAGAATTAAATTCCACAATACAGAATCGGGAAAAATAAAATGCATAGAATACGATAGCGACCATAAAGCACTGCAAATGACCATCTCTGTAGATACAATGCCGTTACTTCTGCTAGACATAGATGTTCCAATCAAAAAAAATAACTACAACAAAGCCGACTGGCCACTGTTCGAAAAACATCTGGAACATAAGCACGAAGAATTCACCATTCCTAACGACAGAAACCTTTCAACAAATGAAATAGACGACTACCTAATCCAAATAAACGAGCACATAATAGATGCAATAAATAATACCGTACCAAAATACAATCACAACCAGAACTCGACGGACAAGTACATTACGCCTAACATAGACAGACTCCGCAAAGACAAAAGTTACCTAATCACACAAATAAATAACATTAAGAGAAATAACACTCTATCGTACCATGACCAAATAACCGTAAAAGCGTTTAATAAACTACTAAAGAAAGTGAGACATAAAATAAAATTAGCCTTCTATCAATCAGTCAGCAACCATTGGAAACAAAAAATATCTAACGTAGCAAAAATAGAACCTAAAAAACGATTCCCAGAAATTAATAGTATATTCAGACAGAAAGCATACGACACAATAGATACACTAAAGATACCACAAAACTTATCACCCTTGTTACATGATGCAGAAATAGATAGTGATACTTTAGAAAAAGACAGCGACAACAATTTTATAATTCACAACACCACAGATAAATTAAACATACTAGGTACTCATTTCCAGCAGGTACACACCCAAAATGAACACATGGGAAAAACACAACACACCAATATCATAACACAAAAGATTAGAGTTCTTAGAGAGAAAATTGAGACGGATAAACGAAATCACAACAGCATCTGTCAATTCTCAAACCAAAACAAATCAAGCAATCCCAATAAACTCAACACTCCCGAAAACTATTTCACAAACATCCTAAGCCTTCACAATATATTCCGAAAATTAAACGGCAAAAAATCATCCAGCTTTGACGAAATCCCAAATATAGTCTTAAAAAAATTACCCGAACGATACATATATTACTATACAATCTTATTTAATAACTGCCTAAAC